TGATAAATACGTTGTCATCGGTCCACTCCATAATTTGGCTAAAAAAACTACCGATCAATCACCGATGGCTCTGTGTAACTGGGGTGTAAAGGGTTCATACATTATCTTCATCCAAACAGTTAAGCCATGCCATTTTCATAACCTATTGGTCAATTGTTATTTATAACACACATGAATTTTGTATGTAAACTGAATTAAATGTTCCAGAGCAACATGTAATGCTGCACATTAGTGCAATGATTTCATGCATGTGCTCTTCACTCATAAGTTAAGAAAAAATACAGTGAAACACATTTTCTTTCATTCTATTTGGAATTTCATTTTTCTAAATACAAACAATTATTTGGTAAACTAAGCATTATATTCTTTCAGATAATGTTTGAAATTTTATTTTTAATATAAGAAGTACTATTCAAGTCCAGTGAGACAAAGATTGATAAAAAAAGAAGTTAATACATTTTAATAATTTGCAAAACTGTGTATTGACAATATTAAACCAGAAATAGTTTGAAAGGTTATTCTTTATTTCACACTAACAAATGTACTCTATTTTTTTCCCCGTTTTATTGCTCGATTATTTATATAGAATTTTAAAAACAAGCTTGTTACACCAAGTTACAATACATTACAATGAAAGATGCTAGAACCTTACTGAAAAAAAAAAACAACAAAAAATTGATGTCGAGGCACATCCCACGGGGAAATAAATAATAACATTTTCATTCACAAACGTGTCAGAAATAGACAGATTTCTTCAGAATTCTGCCAAGACCGTGGTGAGACAATTACAACATTACGTGACAATGAAGGCTTATTGACAGAGACAGATCTATTACTTCATAAAATTACTAACTGACTATATATGTTACCAGACATTTCTTTGATCAATGTATTTTTTTGTCAGATAATTTTGCTGGTACTGGGAGGAAAGTGCGGGATGAAAAACAAAGACTACGTAAATTATGTCTAAAGGACTACGTAAATTATTTGTATAATTCTATATACACAATGATTAGTTATAATGATACACTAATTGAAATGAAATTAGTCCCTTTTTTGCCACTAAAATAATTGGAGATGTTTATATATTTTATAAATAATAGTAATTGTATTATTAGCAAAATGGGCCATAACTCTGCAGAATGTAATAAAGAGAGTAATACATCTTGAAAATAAATAATATTACTTCAAGTACCTTGATTATAATTAGAACTATCATCATAATTATAACTTTTCTAGGACCATTTCATAAAACTGTCATTATAATTATAACTTTTCAAGGACCATTTCATAGTCTGTCATTAAAGTTATAACTTTTCAAGGACCATAACTATGCAATCAAATAGTGTGAGCGAGACTGATATAAGAAATAAACTGGAACTGTGCTTGTTTTGTTCAAACAATTCAAAATTGAAACTGTTATTAGACAAGACAATAATGTGTCCTTTTTGTTCATTTTATAGACATTACAATGATTTCATATTCTGACATGAACTATTTCAGCTTCTGACATTCAACTATTTCTTAACTGACATTCAACTATTTCATGTGCTGATATTCGACTATTTCATATCCTGACATTCAACTATTTCATATCCTGACATTCAACTCTTTCATATGACATTCAACATTTCATATTCTGATATCCAACTTTTTCATATCCTGACATTCAACTATTTCACATCTTGACATTCAACTATTTCATATCCTGACATTCAACTATTTCATATCCTGACATTCAATGTTTTCATATCCTGACATTCAACTATTTCATATCTTGACATTCAACTATTTCATAGCCTGACATTCAACTATTTCATATCCTGACATTCAACTATTTCACATCTTGACATTCAACTATTTCATAGCCTGACATTCAACTATTTCATATCCTGACATTCAACTATTTCATATGCTGTATCATCATATTTAACTACTATTTCATATGCTGTTATTCAACTATTTCATATCCTGACATTCACCTATTTCATACACTGACATTCAAGTATTTCATATCCTGACATTCAACTATTTCATATCCTGACATTCAACTATTTCACATCTAGACATTGAACTATTTCATATCCTGACATTCAACTATTTCAAAACCTGACATATAACTGTTTCATAGCCTGACATTCAACTCTTTCTTATGCTGATATTCACTAAATTATCAGTGTCCTTGACAGGATTCAGGGCGTGCTAAATTTGATTATGACTAACTTGTTTGTTTTGTTTAAGGCATTTCTTTACTTTGTCCTTATGTTTTTTATAAAATGAATTCTGGAAAAATTTCTCTTGCCCATACACTCAAGTGAGTACAGATAACTGATTTTGTGGCACCTAACTCAGATTCAAACCAGATTCTTCTAGATACAAATGAACATTGATATATTATCCTACCAATGGACCACGACTCGATCCATACAATATTGATCAATTTTACTTATAATTTTTTAATAAAATCAAAATGGCCGATTTTCAAGACATAAAAACCTATATGTTTCAAGTTCTTATAACTTTTATGATCATCTCTCAGCATGCTCACAGAGTGCTGACCATTCCTTATTTATACAATTATTAATCATTAATTCAATTAAAAACAGTCACTGTTAATAATGGGAATATGAATACACCCCCTCCTGGTTTCTTATTCCATCATCATAATATCTCATCTAGGAAATTAAATTTTACAGAATCCAAATGCCTCTAGAGAATATTTTGCAACTGGCATCCACATTGCTGAATTAGGAAATAAACTGACAGGGTTCGTGCCCCGCAACTCAGCTGACACAAGAACTGCATTCCGTAGATTGGAATCAATATTAAACTGCAAATAAAGTATGAATAATTCCATTTGTTGTGAGAATTTTACTTCCAAAATTACTAATGTTGAAAAAAAAAGATTATTTTTGCACCACTTTACATTTAACAAATTTTCTTTTTTTTTAAAGCAACACCAATCACTTGCTGGTCCTAAGAGATGTATAGACTCCAGTAATCCAAACCCATTAAGTCGACCTCATAGGATAACGCAGGGAAACAGCTTCTACAATTCTTATGCCTCAACACCTAAGCAACAAGGGGATTTTTATTGTAGAGTTTTATGTCACAAAGATAACTGTTAAGGTCACAGGTCATAAGGCTCCTTTCCAGTTTTTATTGGAACAGGAAAACACTCTATGTACCCCCTATACATACGCGAGTAGGCACATGCGTAGAACTCATAAGCTACATTAACTGGTTTTCAGGGACCTCACATTAAGGAATACAAAGTTCAAGGCAGAATTTCAACCCGCAGCCTTGAAGGGCCAGCGGTTTAAATTTAACAACCTTAACATTCAGCCACCGAGGCTGCAGAAACCAGACTCGGTGAAGTCAAACTTAACAGTATTGTGAAGCTTTACACTCTGAGCTTTACACAAGTGAAGTTTTTTGCCCAGATATCCAGTGAACAAATTGTTAAGTTACAAATATTCAGTTTTCATACCCAGATGAACCCGGAATTATCTTGCAAACAAGCTTGATTAATATTAGAAATATTAAAAACTCTTCAATATTTCATCAAGTGATATAAAATATGGATTGCAGGTTGGATGAGTAATTTATCAATTATATGTTAAGTACAACAGCATGGGTGATTTTGAATTTATCAACATTTTAAATTATTAAATTTTAAATGATTAATGATAAAATGCAAAGATATTAAGAAATAATGGTCTGTTTTAGGGTTCCTACAGTGCATTCTGAGAAAATTTGAAAATATAGATAGAAAACACCTGAATGAAAATAATTTATCAAGCTATTCATCAAACTAAAGTTTTCCATTTAAATATTTTAGGAATTTTCTAATATTTCAAAGTAAAAAGAAATAATTTTTGATCTTTGAAATATTTAGATATAAACACAACTGTAAATGTAAAAGGACTTTCATTGGAATTAAACAGCATAAATGTTTATATGAGCCGCGTCACGACAAAACCAACAGTGCGTTTGCGACCAGCATGGACCCTGCAGTCCGCGCAGTCTGATCAGGATCCATGCTGTTTGCTATCAGTTTCTCTACTTGTTATAGGGTCTGTAAGCGAACAGCATGGATCCTGATCAGACTGTGCGGATACGCAGACTGGTCTTGATCCATGCTGGTCGCAAACCAATTATGTTGGTTTTGTCGTGATATGGCTCATATTTCTTTCGTATTTCTAAAACAAGCCATATCACTGAAGGCGAAAGGGGTACCCCAAATGCAAAATAGGAATATGTAAAGTGCTATTCTGAGCATAAATTACCTTTCAAGGCATGCATCTAACAAATATGAACTAGGATAAAAAATAAAGGCTGCATCATAGCAGAAGGGCAAAAATCTATTCTTAGCATAATGCTGACCTTGTCCTTCAATTCAGTGACCTTTTGGTCAATAAAAGAAAGGCTGTATTAGCAAAGGCGTAACAGGCATATAATTAAGTAATATAAAGGGAAAAATAATTCAAAAACAAAGAAAGCCATAGTAATTATTTATAGAAAATGCACTGTGTCTCACTGATCTGTATGACTTGGAGAATTTTTAAGGAATTTCCTTCAATACAGTTATTCTTCAGACAAAAGTGTGACTGTCAGAGGGACAGATGGATGGACAATGAGGCAACTATATGCTCCCACCTGTAAAGGAGCATATAACAAATATATCACAAAATATCAAAGCACTTTAATGCCTTTGCATTGTGGGCGATATATGTTTAGGCAATATATGCAATAACAAGTACAACAAGCAAATTCGTTGAATTTATATCCCCCGCCGAGTACTGGTTATTATTAACACAACAACTGAAGACATAAGGCTATGCAACAGACCAGAACCATTTGATCAACTTTGGCAGGGGTCCTGTAAAGTTTGGTTGCTGTGCAGTCATTTGTTTCTGAGGAGATGTTGTTTAAAGAAATTGCTGACGACGCATGACGACGGACGGTGGGGGATCACAATAGCTCACCTAGATGTAAAAACATCTTAATCTCCAGACTTCATTATTCGTAATTTAGTGATGTTGATCATTATTCCTGTAAAGTTGGTTGATTCTAACTCAAGCACTCAAGGATCAAATAACAACATAATGAAACAGTTTTTACTAAGTCAAGGGAAATAACTCTACAAATACTGGATAAATCCACAAGCGAAACCCCAGGAACAAACTAAATATGCTGAGCAACTTTCCAATAAGGTTAAATGACTCTATGTCAAATCCTTTTTGAGTTACATGCGACACATGTTGAAAATTGCAAACATTTTTCTAAGTCAAGGGCAATAACTCTAAAAATACTAAATAAATCCAGACGAAAATACCCAGGTGCACAACTACACATGCTGATCAACATTCCTGTAAAGAATCATGACTTTAGGTCAAATACTTTTGAGTTACATGTGACACAAGTTGAAAATTGCAAATTTTACTAAGTCAAGGGCAATAACTCTAAAAATAGTAAAAATATCCGGACGAAAATACCCAGGTGCACAACTACACATACTGATCAACATTCCTGTAAAGTTTCATGACTCTAGGTCAAACACTTTTTGAGTTACATGCGACACAAGTTGAAAATTACAAAATTTTACTAAGTCAAGGCAATAACTCTAAAAATGCTAAAAATATCCAGATGAAAATACCCAGGTACACAACTACACATACTGATCAAAATTCCTGTAAAGTTTCATGACTCTAGTCAAATACTTTTTGAGTTACATGCGACACAAGTTGAAAATTACAAAATTTTACTAAGTCAAGGGCAATAACTCTAAAAATACTAAAAATATCCAGAAGAAAATACCCAGGTGCACAACTTCACATGCTGATGAACATTCCATAAAGTTTCGTTGAATTCCAGCCATTAGTTGCAGAGAACTACTCCGGAAACGAAATTCGGACGTTTTTACTAAGTCAAGGGCAATAACTCTAAAAATACTAAAAATATCCAGACGAAAATACCCAGGTGCACAACTTCACATGCTGATCAACATTCCCATAAAGTTTCGTTGAATTCCAGCCATTAGTTGCAGAGAACTACTCGGAAACGAAATTCGGACGTTTTACTAAGTCAAGGGCAATAACTCTAAAAATACTAAAAATATCCAGACGAAAATACCCAGGTGCACAACTTCACATGCTGATCAACATTCCCATAAAGTTTCGTTGACTTCCAGCCATTAGTTGCAGAGAACTACTCCGGAAACGAAATTCGGACGGACGGATGGACGGACGGACGGACGGAAGGACAACGCCAAAACTATATCCCCCTCCCGATTCCATCGGCGGGGGATAATAAAGGGTAGACTTTTGATTACAATAACATTAATAAATCTTTCCTTTGTAGGTAAAAGAAAAAGCAAGATTAATTTTCCTGTTAGCAATAACGAATAACATACCACCAGGAAACTGCGCAATTGAATTCTTACCTGAAAATAAACAAATTTACAGAATATCATAATTATTTCATTTTATGATGGATCTTTACAAAGGAATCTTTCATACTTAGCATAAACGCCCGTTTTCCTTTTTTCACTGGCAACCAGAGAAATGTTTCCGCTCTTAAAAGACAATAAAATATCAAAAATAATTAAATATAACAGAATACTTAATTAAGATATGATTGTGTTTTATGATCAACAAACAAGATAATTCATTGAAAAAAACAGGAAGAATTAGTGAAAATCAACAGCACACAAGTAAACTGCATTGAACTACAGATTAGAGTAAACAAAGAACAAAGTAGTAGGCTTGTTCTGAAATTTAAGAAATGTAGGAACAACAAGGTAAATACGCCCCCTTTTATTGTTGTTTCATTTGTTTTTGTTTTTTTTCCTCTTGTTTTGAATGCTTGTTTTTTTATACTTTCTTAAACTATTTTGTTTTAATTTTTTCAAAGATTTTACTTCATATATTCAATTAAAATGATTATTGGCCATAACATAAAACTTATAATAAACACACTGCAGGGAAGAGTGATGTTAATTTTAAACTCAGGGGCATTTATAAGAAAATTTATGGTACATTACTATTTACAATTTCTCAGGAAAAATTCCTAGAGAAGATCTATTTGAGATACAACTTAAAACCATATTATTTCAAATAACAAACATTTCAATACAGGAGCCAATAGTATGAATTGTCTTTCACTACAAATTAATAAGTAAATCCCTATTGGAGACTTCTGATGAAATGCAACAATTTCTCTCAAAATAATCAGAAATCAAACCAATGTTATAAATATCATTTTGATTGCATTGAAAACATATTTCTGATAAATATGACTGCTATATAATGTCATTATTGTTTTATACCTCATAAGTATAAAGTTAAACTTCAGTTTATTCCTTACAATTTACACAGTTAATTTGTTATGACATATCCTTTAACATGCTTGAAACATCTAAAAAAAAATTTCTTTTTGAAAGGGTTGTCTTAAATATTGATACCAAAACTGATAAATTTTTTGTCTAAGACTTACCTTTATTCTTGATATTTTATTTCAAGATGGAGTGATCTTGTCATGAATACAGTATGTATAACCTTAATAAAAGCAATCTTGCAGTTCAATGCCAAAAGCTGTAACTGGAAGTTTGTCTTCAAAACCTATCTTACCTATGTTAATGATATTAGAAATATCAATCCCTAAGCCTGCAAAATTATCACAATTAAGCCCATTGAGATCATAAAGTTCAAATAAAAATCTTGATAATACATTGAACTATACACACAGAAAATAAATGCAACCTTGATAATACATTGAACCACACATAGGAAAAACAAATGCAAAGTAAACATTTTAGTTCTAAAATTGCTAGTTTCTTATCAAAGATGTATAGAATTATATATTATTCTTAAGTGACTTTACATTTCCTCTACAAAACAAGTTAAGAAGAGGCTTGATGACCAAATCAACATTTATAACAGAGTGCAATATCCTCATACAGTTTGTTGTCCAAAATATAAAATTCCTTGATCTTAAGATATTTCTCTTAAAACCAAAAATGACTTGTGCTACAGCTTTCGGTTAGTGGACATATCTCTGTTGGGTCCATAAAGGAGTTCTGCAAATGATGAAATTGGCAGTTTATAAATACAGCATTTTTAATAAGAAAATAATCAACACTGATTGATGCTCCCCTTAAATGTCACTTTAAGAAAAACCTGAAAACATTGCTTTACTATGAGAAAATATCAGAAAATCTATTTGAAACTTCTGTGACCTTGACCTTGTTAACACAATAGATCTGAAATCAAGGGAAAGAGTAGAGGTCCATAAACAAGAGCTGTCGGTAGGACAGCAACGCTCGACTATTCTTAGTGCTTGATAGTAAAAAAAAATGCTTGATACAGTTACCTCCTCCTGTTTACAGGTTGGGTTCATGATGGTGAACAAGTGTGCAAAGTTTCAAAGCCATATGTCAATGGACTTTGAAAATATTTGAACTATTACAAAAACTTTAACGTAAATTCTAAGTCGAAAAGGGGCATAATTCTGTCAAAATGCTTGATAGAGTTACCTCCTCCTGTCTACAGGTTGGGGTCATGATGGTGAACAAGTGTGCAAAGTTTCAAAGCCATATGTCAATGGACTTTGAAAATATTTGAAGTATTACAAAAACTTTAACGTAAATTCTAAGTCGAAAAAGGGGCATAATTCTGTCAAAATGCTTGATAGAGTTACCTCCTCCTGTCTACAGGTTGGGGTCATGATGGTGAACAAGTGTGCAAAGTTTCAAAGCCATATGTCTATGGACTTTGAAAATATTTGAACTATTACAAAAACTTTAACGTAAATTCTAAGTCGAAAAAGGGGCATAATTCTGTCAAAATGCTTGATAGAGTTACCTCCTCCTGTCTACAGGTTGGGGTCATGATGGTGAACAAGTGTGCAAAGTTTCAAAGCCATATGTCAATGGACTTCGGAAATATTTGAACTATTACAAAAACTTTAACATAAGTGGTTACGCCGACGCCGACGCAGACGCCGACGCTCGGTGACTACAATAGCTCTACTTATTCTTATCGAATAGTCGAGCTAAAAAAGATGACAGAAGTCTGGCAGAAGGAACACTTAGTGAAAATGAACATCTAATAACAACTGAGGCTCTAATATTATTTTTATGAGGCTCTAATATTATTTTTATGAGACTCTAATATTATTTTTTTTATGAGGCTCTAATATTGTTTTTTGATGTGAACATTACTAGCTAAAGAAAAATCTTGTCAATGCAAAAAAGCATTCATCTAAAAAAAATGTACAAACGTAATTATTCTGGAAATAAATAGATATATATTTCCTTGTCAATAAGCCTTCATTGTCACGTAATGTTGTAATTGTTTCACTAAAGTATTTGGCAGAATTCTGAAGGAATCTGTCTTATTTCTGACACATTTGTGAATGATAATGTAATAATTAGTTACTCTAGAGATGAGCCCAGACACCAACCATTGCCAGTTACTGTCAGCCTTAATAACTGAAAAAGGCGGACATTTGTTATCAAAGCTACAAGCTTTCATGAGAAGAGTTGTGGACCTTTTTTTTTCAAGACTTTAAGATTTAGGAGCAAATCTGAAACCGGCTCCAGTCAGAAACTGTCTCTTAACTTATAAACTGATTTGGATATCATAAAATAAGTGTGTCTGCCACAGTGTCAGTTGTGTCTGAAATGTTTTTTGTTTGTACCAAACGATTTTTCTTGTGCAAAAAACAAAAATTTATAATTTTCTTATTGCAACCAAAACTGCATACTTCAGTATACTGAACACAAGCCCATTATTATTATGCTTTCGTTCCCAGGTTAATTCAAAATGGCTGGCATACGAAAACCTTGAGGCTACCTTGAGGCTTTGCTATGAACCCATGCCAATGCCAAAGAAGCCTTAAGCTTTTAAATAATTTCTATACATGTATTTTGCTTTAACTATAAATCTGTGCAGCTTTTATGATAAATCATCCTCCATCTTTATGATTAATTATTTTCTACCTTGTGAAAGTTTAAATACAGCTGCTACCATAAGAGATTATGGTCCTTTAAATATGTCTTTGAAATTGAACACTGTCTTGCTGTTGATAAAGGGCGGAGTGGCCATATGTTTCCTCAATAACCTTTGAAATCTTATATGCCTGGCATATAATTATATAACTCTAGACTATGTATTGAATGAAATTGACATAACAAACAGTTTTGAAATGTGGGTATATTAAGTTTTTTTTATTTATTCTTCGGAAAATGTTTTGTGGCTTTTATCTATAAGTACAGAAAAGTTAAGATTTCAGAGCAAAAGCCTAAATACTATAATAGACAAATGTCATACATTGTCATAATCTGTTTAAAGACATTAAATATAACATTTCATCAAATATCATCAGGCCATGGACAAATTATCAAAATACCATGATTAAACATCAACAGACCATGGTTTAAAATATCAATCTGCCTATGGTCAAATATCAACATAATCATTGTGGAAGATCATTAGACTATAGTCAAATATCATCAGAACATGATCAAATATCATCAACCAACAACAATATGATAAGACCATGGTCTAATACCATGGTTGATTATGTTAACCAAGGCAAGACCATGGTTAAATATTATTAGACTATGGTCAAATATCATCAGACCATGTTTAAATATCATCAACCAAGAATAATATCATAAGGCCATGGTCTAATATTGCCAGGGCAGCTTAAAGTAACCAAGGATAACATTAGAAAGAAACTGTATCAACAAGATGAAGGAACGTCAAACAATTAACAAAATACAAAAAGAAAGTACTACCCATAATAATTAAACAAATACAAATATAAAATCTTAATTGGGATACAAAAATGGAATAAAATTCTGTCTGAACATGATTCAATCAATTCACCAATATTGCTGCTATAAACTTACTCAACAAAAATTGACGCAACAGATATCAGTGAGGTGAAAGGATATATTAATACAAGTATATTGTCTGGCACCTTTTGAGTGATGAACATTTCAAGAAAATGCCAAAGTTATTGACAAGGCTAGAAGAGAAAGGAAGTTGCTTAGACTGAGACAAATTAGTATTTACAGTAACACCTCCACAGAGCAGCACACTTTGAGAGGCAAATAGCTTGGTTGTTGCTGAGGTTCTTTCTCTAAAAAGGTTAAATCTATAGTGAAGTCTTACTGTGGGAAAACCTGAAACTGTTGCTCTACAGAGTTAGTTGCTCTACAGAGTTAGTTGTTCTACAGATCGAGTTAGTTGTTCTACCAAGTTAGTTGTTCTACAGAGGTGATTGCTCTACAAAAGGATGCTG